CCCCAAAACCCCAAAACCCCAAAACCCCAAAACCCCTAGCCAGTTAGTTATTAAATTCTTAACTAAATCAAAATGGCGATTGGAGTAAATATAGATGGACTGGTTGCTCTGTGATATGTTGGCATCGTTGGCATCACAGTTGCATGTTTATATGTAGAGGTAAACTTAACTCTGAACATCCTTGTGCATTCGACCCTCCTGATCATCATCGGAAGTGTAAACAGTGTAAGATTTTTGATCAGAGATAAAATATCAAGAACCAACTTTGATGGGGACGAGGCTGTGATTGAATCCGTAGGCGCATCTGAAGCATACAAATTCCCAATACTAGGATCAGCAATGCTTTTCAGTCTGTATATTCTGGTAAAATATGCTGGTAAAGACATTGTCAGTGCTTTCATGATCGGGTACTTCATGCTAATAGGTATGGATTCCTTCAAAGGTATTCTGAACAACTATACTTTTATTGGAAAATACAAAGAAGATGATCCAGAGTCTATCAAGTATCCAATATTGTTCAAGGACAAGAAGATTTTTGGAAATGATGTTAGTCTCAGCAAGTTCGATCTTATTTGCCTCGCTTGCAGTATTGTATGTGGACTTCTCTATGTAGCAACACATCATTGGATAACCAACAATATTTTGGGAATCATATTCACCCTTTTCGCACTTGAGAACATGTTCTTGTCCAACTTCAAGGTTGGAGCAATCATGCTCTGTGGGCTCTTTTTCTACGATATTTTCTGGGTCTTCGGTACAGATGTGATGGAAACCGTTGCTAAAAACATCAATGGGCCAATCAAGTTGCTTTTCCCAAGGAAAGTTATCATTGAGAGCAACAAAGATCTCTCCCTTCTCGGTCTTGGAGACATTATCATCCCAGGAATTTTCATAGCATTGTGTTTGAGATATGATTTTTTGAAAGCTTTCAACAAAAAGACTAAAAATCGTACTTATGGAGCAGTAAATGAAATGTTCCAGAGATTCCCAAAGCCTTACTTCTGGGCCTGACTCATTGGATATATCGTTGGTATCCTAACAACCGTTGCAGTCATGCTGGTCTTCAAGAGAGGACAGCCTGCCCTCCTATACCTCGTACCTGGATGCCTTGGAAGTGTGATCGCATGAGCATTTGTCAGAAAAGAGCTCACTACTTTATATAACTATGATGGGGATGGAGAACTTGAAGAGCTCCTTAAGGCTACAGAGGATCATCTCGGAATCAAAAGAGAGGATAAATCTGAAGAGAAGACTAATGAAACCAAGGCTGAATAAAATCTGTATACACGTGTTTTAGATAAAATTTCATTATCTGGCAGGTAAATAGGGGTTTTGGGGTTTTGGGGTTTTGGGGTTTTGGGG